AATGTCCTCACTAATCCACAACTTATGGCTTTTAGGATAGAATCTATTATAGTGAAGATATTGTCCGGTCTAGGTCATTTTTCTACAGATGGATTTTCCGACCGTTCATATCCCCGTAGGAGTGGTAGTACAATTTTCCAGACATCCGGGATAATTGTGGAGCTATTCCTTCCACCAGGGGTCAGTGAAAACAAGATAAAAGAAATATTTAAGGAACAGTGTAACGGTAGAAGACGAAAGACTACTGTCTCATACTGTGATACTTTCATTAGGTTTCTTCTTCTGAAAGGTGTTTCAGATAAAATATATTTCGCTACAACCAACACAAAATTGGGAGGCTGTTTAGTTCGTTGATAGTATTATAACTGTAGAGGACTAGAGGTTTGGTAAAGGAATGTTTATTTGCAATTCTGTATCTCTATATATAGCGAAATTATGTACACCTCATCTTCAATGCACTATTTGCATAGACCTTCCGTGTTGTGCCTGCTACTTCTGCCCTTCCTTCATATTGTGTTTCTTTGTGTTCGTTGCACGTCTCCCATGTTCCTCCGCAACGCTGTATCATTCGCCTTCTATGACATCAAATCTATCTCCCTGAAGCTTGATGTTTTTAAGCCAATGAACGTCTATTTATATACTATTACTGATGAATCTTATCAGTAGCACACGCCACAGTAGGACAAAAAAAACAAATAGTACAAAAGAATAGGAAATTGTACGAATAATAATAATAATAGTAAGATGAATCCCAAATATACACAGCAAGATGAAAACAGTACGAATAAGAGATTTAAAACACCATTAGTGTTACCATCCAAAGATGGGACCTCTGAAATGGCAGGTGAGATTCTTACTTAGCACGGCAGGCAACAATGTGGTATTCACAAATACACAAGCTGACTAACAAAAAAAAGCAAGTTGTATAGGTTAAAGGATCCTGTCCATTAGGCAAAATAATTCGGAATCGATAATGAGCTGACATCAGTTAGAGAACCATTTCAAAATCAGCTGGGAGAACTGAACGCCTGTTTCGCCCTAGTTCGGGACTCATCATCAGCCTGATGGTTGTGCTAAACATATTATCATGAATTGGCGGAAGTTAGAATTCACTGACCACTGGACTGGTGCTTCCCAGTGGCTTAACGGTCTACAAGCTTGCCTTGTAACCGGAAGGTCCTGGGTTCGAAACCTCGCGGTGGGTGCATACTGCGAAGAGTACCGAAATAGGACGAAACAGCTGTCCAACACTCCCAGGTTTAAGAAATGGTTCTCTAACTGATGTCAACTCGTTATGAAACCTGTAACTAGTCATATACTTGCAAATCAACACTTGACAAATTAATTCAGTTTATTTTTAATACGCCGAGGTGAAATACATAGGTCCAAATAGAAGGCTGGGGTCAATTACAATAGCAGAGCACTAAAACCGAGCGGAATCTAGATTAATTGACCCTAATAAGACAAGAAACCTAGAGAATAAATCAGCTATAGCATTCTATGCAGTTATATACAAATTTACAACAGGATGGGAAAAGATGACATATATGAAATCTAATGTAACAAATATTGGGGAGGGGAGAGATTGTTACTTGAAGCTTTATTTTAATATAACAATAATGCTTTATTTCAGACTATATGTGAACACATGATACAAAAAATTCCAGCGTATTTATTCCCAAAATACTTTTTCTGCATACATGATTTTTTAAATTATATCTTGATTCCACACCGTATTTTTGATACAAGTGTGGAATTTTCAGCTTGCGATATCGGCAGCCCGAATTCGCAGGCCAACCATTAATATCAGGTGTGCGTCGGCAGGAGATCGACCCCCAGACCAAGTGCATGGTTAGCGAGAGTCCTAACCGCTGTAAAGTAATAATCTGAAATATACCTTTCTATGTTGAAAAATTGCACAGCGTTTACTCGGAATCAAGTTAAATCAGCTTGCAAGTTCATGTATAAGTCATTTGAATTAACTAGACGATTAAAACAATTATAAATCCAAAGGAACTTAGGCATTTTTTGTGGAAAGCAATTTCAGTAGCCCAATGGTTCAAGCAGGCCGCGCTCAACTGGAATTACCTGTGATAGGAATGATTCAGCACCTGTCCAGTCGGACATCTGGCAAATTCCGTTACCCTTACGACAAATAGGAAAGAATGATAAGAACTGTAAAAATGAAGTTTCGAAGTTGTGTAGTTATAAAAATGATGATATGTTTATGAACAATCAACTGTGT